AAACATAGCTGGACTGAATTTACATGGTCTCTTGGAGTTCCTTGGGCTAGGCCTGACAGATGGCAAACAAAATGTAACAGCTTTTATATATTTCTCAGTATCCAGGCTAGAAAGTAAATAAGAGGTGAGTGATGTTTCAGTCACCCCAATAAGATGAGAAGAGGGGGCTATTTAGAAAACATCTCGATAAAGCACACAATTTAAGATCACAAGGACTACTGATTCAACTGTTCAGTGATGGCAATCAGAAAGATAAATGCCAAACTCAACAGATGGGAACAAAGGAAAAGTCTCTTGTCTTTTTTAGAGCACTATTTGCCTGACAAAAAAGTTTGCCCTCAAAATACATTTACTGCAAATATACCAGTTTTCCTTCTTTCATATCTGCTCAGAATAACAGTGGCAGACTCTTACCTCATATGGAATTTTCCTGTATTTTCTATTGAGCACTGCAGATGGTAAAGCATCTAATGAGTGCGTTCATCTATGTGTTGGCATTGCTAAATTATAAAGATATTTGGTTGGTTTAAGTGAGCAATTTATTCTAGCCAGGTGTAAGAGCTTGGAATCAGATCTGTCTAATTTGGTATTCCATATCATTTACTCCCTCTTTAATGATCACTTTAGTACAAGTATGTTCAAGCCCTAAAGCCAACAGCGATACCAGTGAAAATTCATATGAATAGAGTTTAACCTCTAAATGGCAGCATCAGAGAATGGTAGGATCCCATCAGTGCTAAAGGACTAGTCCAGAAAGAGCTACATTTAACTTTACCCCCAAATTAAACATGGGACCCCAAATTCTTACTTCAGCCGTCAGTAGAGCAGACAAAAGTCTTAAAACAGCCTTTGGTATGCATTTGGGCTTTTGAACAAAAGATCTTAAAAAATCTGTATTCGATCACCTCCAAGAGAGGGAGATTAGAATAACAAAGAAATTGGGCTCTGTAAAATAATTGAACAAGGGAGATCCCATCCAACTTTCTCCAGTTTTTATGATACTCTATGAGTCTTGGTGAGAATCACCAGGTGAGAATCAACAGCTCCTTCCTCATGATCAAACAGAGAGTAGTGGGGTATGGCTTGATCACTGCAGCTAATCATTGTGCTAGGAGGCATGTTCTGTGTTGCCAAGCCTTGCTAGTTCTTTCTTTAATGAAGAGTCTTGCTTTTTTTTATCACTCTATAAACCCCAGGTCCTGTTTTGGGGAGACTGTCAAGGTAAGAATGAGAAACTTCCCCAAAACTAACTGGATTTTGATGTAAACACTATACAGCTGACTCAGGAACGATAGTTTAAATCAAAACAAGCCCAAGCTGTTTGGAGTCAAAACTAATCCTAACTCCACTACTGAATTGGTTATTGTCTTTGCACAACATACTACCATGACTAAATTAAATGTGTACAGTAATGTGAACTCAGCCATTGTGTTGATCAGTAGACCAGTCTTCCTTAACCTAGTATCCACCATCTGGGCTGGACTTCAACTCCTACATTTGCTAGAAAGTAGAAGCTGAAGTCCAAAATATCTGGAGAACATCAACTGGATGAAACTGGTTAAGGTATCTTGGTGATTGGACTAGGTGTTTTCAGTTAGCAGCCATTTGTCTACTCTTGTCTCCTGATCTCCCATCACAGTATCACCTATACCACTACAGGCTCGCAGCTGCTGCTGATATATTAAACTTGTATGCCGCCCAATTCTCAATGACTCTGGTTCTCTCACAACAATCAAAGCAATTACAATAAAATTAATAAAACACAAAAAATAAAGATATAAGATGGCTGGAGTGACCAAGTGAGGGGTCTCGCTCTCCACCAGCAGAGTGGAGCCATCTGGATCTCAGGGGGAACCTTATTCCAGAGGGCCGGTGCTACTACAGAGAAGGAATGATTCTGGGGTCTTGAGAGATGATATTGTTTCATCAAAGGAACCTGGAGCCTGCCAACCCTGCAGGATTGAATCGGCTGGACAGAAGTTATGGGAGACAGGCAGTCCCTCAAGTAACCAGGCCCTATGCTATGTAGGGTTTTATAGGCAACAACTAACATCTTGAATTGCACTCAGAAGCAAACCGGTAACCAGTGCAGCTCACAAAGCAGAGGCATGCAGATTACTGCTTGTGCTGCCGCATTCTGGATCAGTTGAATCTTCCAGGTGGCCTTCAAGGGCAACCCCATGTAGAGAACATTGCAGTAGTCAAGCTGTGAGGTGACTAGGGCATGAGTGACTGTCTGAAGGCCTCCCCAATCTAGGAAAGAGTGCAACTGGTACACCAGATGGAGTTGTGCAAAGGCCTTCCTAACCACAGCGGATATCTGCTCTTCAAGCATTAATTAAGCTCAGATGTAGGTAAAAATTGTGTGATGTTACAAGAAATATTCAGATTTGAGGAACCTCAGAACGATGGAACAAAAAGGTGCATGGCTGTTTATTTAGTGGAATCATTTAATTGCTTTTCATGATCTATTTAAAAGACCGCACAAGACAACTGTACATAATATTTTAAATACATTTCATATTTTAATACATATTTGTTAAAGATTAAAAGAGTTTAATTTAAAACAGTACCAGTGGATAAGCAGACACTAACATGCTTCATCGTGGTAGCATTCAGCAAAAACAAGATAAAGTTATATACAGTATAAAGATACCCTCTGCTGAAGTTACACCTGAAAGAGTTTGTCCCCTAGAAGTTCATCTCTTTATCTCTCTGGCTCTTCTCTCCATCAGATGCCAGCAAGTCATATCAACTGGAAGCAACCTATTACAGCATCATTCCTATTTTGTCATTTTTGCCACCATCAGCATCCGGAGTGGCAGAGTGTCTTCTACCCAAGTGTTGGGAGAGTTGATCATCCTTTCCCATAGGGTGGCTTCATCTAATGTAGAGTCCATCCAGTCCACGGGGGTACCATAGCTTTTGCCTAACGAAGTGTTTAAATAAATGAAATTAGCAGTGCTTCAAAGAACTATTCAATACCCTTCAGCAACATACAGTGACTTTTGCATGGAAGTCCTGAATTGAGCCCCAGAATGAGGTTCAGCTGATATCACTGCAGCATGTTGTTTTTGGTTGGGCCTAGTCTGCTGAGATATTTTTGTAATATCTGGGATATTTTCTGTAATAAATTAGCAATGCTGCAGATTTTCATCCATTTCACTGCAACCCAAGGAACGCCCACCATGTTGCTCCACAGTAGAAGCGGACAAGCTTCTGTCTTCCAGATGCAATGAATTCTAATCTCCACACTTCCTGTCCTATCGCTATGCTGCCTACATTTTGTAGAAGGTGCAAACCAAAACATCTGCTCCATGCTTATCCCCATGCTTATCACTATTCCAGAAGATCCCCCAACCAGATCCCAAAGTAACTGCAGGGGAAAGGATCCACCAGGATTGCCCCATAAGCAGGAATCCACTTGCAGAAATCTTGACATAATCCTATGTTAATTAACTAGGAGACGACTCAATGAATACACAAATTGACAATAGATGCAGTAAAGCATGTAAGACAGAGAAAGCAATGAATATATGCTTTTTAATTGGATAAAAGGAATGCATTCTTTGTTTTTCAAAACCACAGGCTCTTCCTGATTCTTCCTGGAACACCTATCCTATAGCCCTAAACATAGAAAGAGAAAGGGTAAAGACAGAGAGAGAAAGCAAGAGAAACTTCCATGCTCTTGAAAATACCTGTTCCAAGTCCTATTCTAAGTCCTCCCAGGAAGTGATTGGCAAGTTTATTATGATCCCAAACAGTAAGTTCCACACATGCTTCTTTTAAGTCTTCAGGTCTGAAGCCATCGTAAACCATGGTATGGTTGAAGACTGGATTGGTCGTCTTCGCAACAGCTCTTGTTTTCTGACGGCTCTTTCTACTTGTATCTGGAAGGACGGTACTTTGGACAACGGGGACAAAAGGAATGATACCAAGTACGCTTTAGATGGTACACTTTGCAACAATACAAGACTTGCAAAGACTTGCAAAGCAAGGAGAGAAATTACTACTTTTTATATCTGAGAGGAAAAAATTGGGACAGAAATAAACGATAAAATGCTCCTATAAAACTTTTGTTGCTAGGGGGCTGGCTGAATTTCTAATTTTCAAAATGCCTTTTGCCCTCTAAGTGCTGCTATGACAATATTGCTACCTATTTTATTTGGTTTTATTAAGTTTTATAATTTGCCACAAAATCCTGTGATTATTGGAATGCATGGGCCATAATGACTATTTATTTATTTACTTACAATATTTGTGTAGTGTCACATCCCAGAACGACTCTCACAGATGGACAATAGCAATAAAAGTAATCAAACAGAAAGAAACACAACAGAAATCCCCACTCCTAGTACCTAACCTCAGTTGGTGTCCAACACAGACCAAATGCCCTGTCAAACAATACCGTTTTGACAGCCTTTCTTAACAACAGCAAAGTGGGTACCAACCTCATCACTGGGGGAAATTATTCCAGAAAAGCACAAATGTAGCACATGGCTACTTCAGGTATTGCAGAGAGGTGGATCTTTTTGGGGTGTATGAGGAGTTTAAGGGGTGATATGGCATCCACACTGCACCTTAATTCACACACGCGCATAAGAAGAAGGGAAATCTTGCTGAAATTAGTGTTTTTGCAGCACAACTTCCACATTGTGATCTGGGAGTGCTCTAGGTGTTGCAAAAAAGGGGATGGAAAGCCACCTCAGCCCTATGGGCTATGGGTTGCCAATTCCTGTTCTTGGTGCACCTTCTTCTTCCCTGTTTTCCAAAAGCTGCTTAAAAGATACCAGGAAGAAGAGGATGGATGGAAACAGCAATTTCTGCAGAGAGGAACAATGAATCACACTCTGGTGCCCCACCACTGTCACTACCATACAGAGTTATTTAATGCTAAAGGAGGGCTGCTTTTAAAATGTTACCGTTTTTTAGAACAGCTGATTGCCAGCAAATCAAATGAAAGCACAAGGTAGCTTTTACTCCTGCCTGGCAGATCAGACACTTTTGACATCTCTTCCTCTTCTTAAAAACTGTAGCACTTGGCAGTGGTTGCTGAACACAACTGTGAAAACTGTTGAGCGGCAGGTACCACTTTTCTAAGAGCTCAGCTGTAGGAAGCCAGGAGGCCAGGAAGTGATGACCATCTGAGATAGGTGTGGATAAAGCTTCCAATTCCTTCTCAGAGGGGCTTCCTTGTTCAAACGGAAGAGGAAGTGGCAGTAACAAAAACTAGCCAGTGGAGAAAGAGTTAGAGTTAATAATGACATCCTGATGTTCTTGTGTGATTTCATGGTGATTTTTCTACCATCCCACTACAGTATGTCATGACTGAAACACTACATTGAACCACCTCGAGTGGAGAATTTCCAACCACACCCAATGAGTTCTGTTCCAAAACACAGCTGCCAAACTAGGCCCTATTGTGTACATTCATTGTACTGACCACTTCACAAAGGAGTTGATCTTCGGGCCTCTAAGGACAGGGAGGTCATTGCATTCTTTCACCCAAATGTGAACTTCTCCAGTGGCTGGAGTCTTTTTACCTTTAAAACAGAGACACATATACCACCAGAATAAATCAAGAGGCATAACATTGGTCTACTGTTCAAAGAATACAGATTCACAATTAATAAGGCAGGGTCACAATGATATCATAACATTGCCTTTTTTATCCTGTCTTATCTCTTGGGAGTTAAGGGCAGTACATTTTTTTTTAAGTTAACAATATTTTTCCTTCTACCTCTCAAGTCAGGGGATGCCTTATTCATTTACAGTATTTGTTGATAGATTTGCAGCCCGCCTTTCCTCCAGCATCTTAAGGTATGGTTCACAGTAGTCTCTCATACCACTTTTCCCCAGAGCAGCAGCCCTGTATAGTAGATTGGACTAAGAGTAAGTGATTGGCCCCAAATCACCCAATGGCTTCCATGGCTGGAGTCAGAACCTGGATTTCCCAATATTGAATCTTTACCCTCAGAAAGAGGGTGGACATACTGCACAGAACACTAGTAGCTTAGGAATATTAGAATACTCATAGCTCCTAGCAAGGCACTTAAAAAAAATTCTTCTAAGCCATGCCTCTTAACTTTTAGACTTCCTCGTTTTATTATTAAGGAAGCTAGCTAAAGCAGCCGCCTTTTGAATGAGCAGGCCTCATGCAATTTAATGCAGTGATGCAGGTGCTATAAATAAAAATAGGGGGAAAAAATGTTCAAAGGGTCACAGTCTCATGAGATTCACTTTAGAAGGTCAACATCTGGTAAGATCTCATGCCCAAACTTTTAAAACCTTGTGATATCTGGCAATCTTGTGAGATTTGGGGCACACTTGAGTTTTAAGAAATTCTTTCTGCAGACTTTTGCAGACATTATGGAGGTCCGTCTACCTGGGTATGTGTGTACAGCATTTTTCACCCTTGAACCAGAAGGACAAAACAGTCACTGAAGCAAATTAATATCCATCCATCCATCCATCCATCCATCCATCCATCCATCCATCCATCCATCCATCATCTTTCTCTCTCTCTCTCTCTCTGCAATACTTACCTCCAACAGGCTGTGGGACATACTGGAGAGCTATCTTTATCTCCCCTCGGTTTTCAAGCTCTAGTCCTGTTAAGGGAGTCTTCACCATTTGAAAAAACAAACGAAATAAAACAAAAACAGTCAATGTCTATGAAAAGCCTAGTGCGCATCACTATCACTGCTTTTGTAACACTACTGATCTCTTCTCAAACAGAATGCCCAACATGCGTACAAACAATCACTTGGAGTTTGATGGGGCCACTGAAGCCATCAAGATCAACTACTGATTAGTGCAGGAATCGAAATGGAAATATCCCTGGTAGACAGCTGTCTAGCATGCTGGCTGTGGAATTCTGAGAGTTGAAGTCCACACATCTTCAAGTTGCCAAGGTTGAGAAACACTGCTCTAGGTAATTGGTTCCACCTTCAAAATGGCTTTACTGTTAGAAAATTCTGCTTAACATTCAGACAGAATCTGCCTTCCTGTATCTTAATCCATTTTTCCATGACTTACACTGCGGACATTCCCTCCTTTTTGAAGATAAGGTTTTTATCTTGTCATTTGGCATTCTCCAGGCTACTATCAGGACGTTTAAATACATGAAGGCTCTTGTGATCAAATCATGATGCCATTCTATTTTACACCCTTGTATACATTCATGCTCATCCATGGATTGTGCTTCCAAGCAAGGGAATATAAAAGCACATCTTAATCTACCAAATCTGAACCAATTTCTCCATAACATAAAATAGTAATGCTGAAAAGAAAAATAATCTCTCTTTCTAAGAAATCTACAGTATTTGCTCAGAATAGGCTTTTGTTCCTAACCCAAACTGGAGAAGTAACTTCTAAGGCTACAGCTTTCTAGAAGCTACCTATGGTTTTGTTAAGTGCTTTATTTTTTCAAATTGTAACAAAAATACTGCTCAAGTAAATTCAGATATCTTCATTGAGCAAAAGATTTTTTACTCAATCCACAACATGTAGCAAAGCTCATACATATCTTAATTTCCAAAACAGCAATTCTCCATCAAAATGCAAAGATACTTTTTTACATTTTAATAGCAGTATGCTTTATAAAAGCAAGAGTCCCAGATGCTTTGCATTGCAGAATATAAAACATGATTGAGATGACATCTTTATATCCCTTATAATATTTTGGAAGATTGCAACTTGTGGGGGTGGGGGCAAGGTGATATGAAGGAAATTTGGCTCAGAGAACACACTTGAAAAATCAAAAGCCATGAACTCACCCTTGGCTTCAACGGGTACCAGATCATTTGCTTGCTCTGACTGTTATTCCAGTCCCAGTTTGCCAAGTCCAGCTCCACTTCACCCAAGAAACTATTGCGCCCAAAAGTATCGTGATGCCAAACTGAGACATTCAGCCTTTGAGTCTCCAACACGTCCTTCTCTACTTTATACTGTAGTTAAGCAAACAGACATTAAACATAGTCAAGATGAAGTCTCTTTCAGTTGAGCTTGACTCCTGCAATTCATACACACGTCCTTGTAATTTTTATGGCAACATTAGCATCCAATCATCAACAGTAGCTGGTCAGATGCTTTTGGAAGCTCATGAGCAAAACAGGGCAGTGTTAGAAATTTCCCACTGTTTATATTTGTTTCTGGGTTCCTAACTCTATTGCTTTGGAATACATGACTTTTCATTTAGCTATTGTAGCTAGTTGTGCCTGGCAGACTTACTCTCCATCTTCAAATCAACTTCATTCAATGATTCCAGTAATTCCAACCCATGAATAATTTTATGATCCTCTATCATTTCAAGATCTGGGTGCCCTCCCTATGAATAAATTGCCTGAAATCTGATGATATTGCTAAATCTTGCAAGATTTTAGAAAATATTCCCCCTACGATCTCACGTGACCCAAATTTCACAATATTGCACATAATATTTTAATCTTCTGATGAAAGCTGCTGAAACATCACAAGATTTCAGGTGTTTCAACCCCTGGATGCCAATTCATCATAGTTTCAATTTTATTGTTGATCCAGGATTCTGTCAGTTTTGATTTATTATATTTACTACTCTGTTGCTGTGTTGTGATTTTAATTGTGCACCTCCATTACTCCTTGTGAAATACAGCAAGATAAAAATACAGGATATAAAAATGAAGCATTTTATTTAAATTAAAACAACTCAGAGTGTTTGCAGATACTGTCATTGTGGTTGACAGGCACTATGTTATCGATTACGTGCCATCATGTTGGTGTTGATCCTGATCAACCACATTGATTTTCTACATGACGAGCATGTTACTGACTCCCACTATATTATACCGATTCTTAGTTATAATTCTTCTAAAGCTGAAAAAAGCTTTCTTCAAAGAGAATGATGCTGTGATCCACTGTTTGGTCCAGCTACCCAGCTTCTTGCACTTTGTAGAGTTTTATTTACTTATATTTTATTTATATAATTTAGAAGCCACCTGGCTCCTAACAACTCTGGATGATTCAAAAGCAAGGAGCGTAAAAACTGAGGAAGCATGCCTATATCATAGGCATCTGGAAGAGAAAACCATATATAACAATGAAAGAAAAATGAACAGGGGCTCACTGGCCGCCCTACCCCAAGGCCTGTGAGAATAGCTAGCTTTTCAGGGACTTTCAGAACTTCGTGAGCTAGGGAGCCATGTGGATCTCTAGGGAGATGTTATTCCAGAGGGCAGGCACCAGGACTGAGAGATAATTCTGCAGTATGAGTCTTAGATGGGACAAACGGAAGTCCATCAGAAACAAGGAGAAAGATGCAAGTTACCCGTAATATCTCATTGTAGACAGGATTCAATGTTTTTTTCTTCACCGATGTCTTCCTTTTGCCTAGTTTGTGTTTTTCTGGTAGCAGGTAACTCTTCACGTACCTAAAAACATTTCATCACCAAATATGAGAAGACAGAGTCTGAATATGACTTCCCATGAAGTTCAACGCCAACATAAAAGCCTTTGGTAGAATATCTTTAAGTTTCTCTTCAAATGAAATAAATCAGTTTTATTCCAGGCATTTCAAAAGAGAATCTATGATTTCTTTACAAGCTTCTTCTAAAAACTGAAACGGGAATATTTGTTATTAATATTTTTTCCTCTGCAAATTCTTTTCAGCCCTATTTGGATTTGCATATTTAGTGCATTTGGGTTCCACTTTCCATCTAAGGAGCCAAAGTTTCCTTCCTTCTCATTACTTTTACGCTCTCTGCTATGCTGTAAAATAACTTAGGCTGAATGACAGTAGGTTTCCTGTGTAAGCAGGAATTTCAACCCAGCTCTCTCCAGTCCTTATTTCATGCTAGCTCTCATATAGTAACTCCTAAACTCTATATAAAATATGCTGTAATTGATTCAAATTGAATATTAATATATATTCCCATAGGTACACAAATAACTTTCAAAACAGACCCAACAATACCAGAATGAAAAATATTTAGTGCATCTCCATTTCTGCTTTAAGAACAATGTTTTACTTGCTTGTTCTTACTTGCAATTCTGACAATTGTTTGTACTCCTTTCATGTTCTCAAAGCAGGCAGCCTTTCCACATTTTAAGCAAAATAGACAGAGAAGCATTATCCAACAAGCTTCTCTTGTTTTCTCAAATTTCAATGCCTCCAAATAGGTTTCCTGGAATAGTGCACACTATCTAAATTGAAGTGGGGTTCTTGCAGCACCATGAAACATTTTCATCCCCCTCACAATCCCAAAATCTTACATTTGACTATCCCAAATGAACCACAATGTGGTAAAAGTTCTGCTTTTGAAATTTACATTCAAATGACCATTATTTAAAATGTACTTAAAATATTTGTATTCCGCTTTTCTACTTAAAAGGCAGCTATGAAACATGGGCAATTGTTTACAATTAATCCAAGAAAATACCATTAAATAACACTGGATCGGTCTATATATCACTTCAATTTATTCCCTACTCACAACAGGAGTACAGTAAAGGAATTGATGTGGAAAGTCTGTCCTGCTTCATGTACGATACAGCACAGTCCCTTCTTTCTTAAGTCATGAATGTTTCAGGTTCTCTCTAATTCCACTTACGGATCTGAACGTTGCTTTTTAACGTCTGCAATAGCCAAATCCTTGCCCTGGGCAATAAAAATATGGAACTCCTTCAACTGCTCCACATAGTCAATGGCAAACTGGAGATTCCCCTTCACATCCACATTGCCAAAATCTCCACTATAAACGCTCATCACACTAGTGCTCACCTGCAGATGTCAAAAAGCAAGAAAATAAGTGTTTTTAAAATGGATGAATTCCTAGGTGCTTCAGCACAGGAGAGAGATTGAAGCTCAGGAGAGAAATCCATTTCCGAATGGGTTGGAAGTAGGGAAGAACAATTTAGAAACCCTTCACAGGTATTATTCAGTGGGAGATACAATCCACATCCAAGTAATGCATGCTTGTTTTTTAGTAAGTAAAAATCATTAACAGTACACATGCAAAGAATAATTTTATAAAGTGGACCCAACAGAAAATATTTTGTCTGCTCCTCTCTTTAAGATCTACTAACTGGTTTTGCCTTTGACTGTCCCATCTGTGCTCAAAACGACATTATTCGGAGGTTTGTGTCCAGAACTATTGTATAATTATCCATTGGTCACATTTAGCATTTTGTGTTAGGATCTTATTCTCCAAACAATGCAGTGAAAAAGGCAACATAAGGCCCATTTTATAGATATTTGAGGTTAGTTCAAGCTGTCCTGCAAGTTCAAGATTGAGAAGATGATTTAGAATTCTGGCTTCCAAAAGCATGTGCAAAACTTTCTTACAGTACTTTATTAACATGCCTCTGGGTGAACTTCATCAAGATTTGCTAAGAAAAGAATTCTACATCAAGACTGAATTCAAAAGCCTCAACACGTCTTCATGGTATAGCAGCCACCAGAAACGTTAATATTAATTCACAAATTCAGACCTTCTGTCACCTACATGGACTCCTATTCTGGTTTTCTGGCCAGTCACAGCAAATCAGAACGAATCCCCCTGTGGCTCTGCCCATTGTCTTCACTGATCCATATGAGAATTGAAATGTGTTTGTTTATTTATTTATTCAAATTTAGACACCGTCACTTCCGCAACTGAGGAAGTGACTCTGGGTGGTTTACAATAAAAACAGCAAATAGATATTAGTTAAAATAGAATAAAAATGGTATAAAAACCCAATAACACCAAATACATACATAAATAGTATGCATTTGGCTTGTTTGCACAGTACTGAAGAACACTGCTGCTGACAAGCGCTTTGAAGGGGCCTAATAAAAGGGCTGCTTGAAAAAATAACTCAGATGAGAAAACAAAAGATTTTGAAAAAGGGGGGAAAAAAAAAGGTAGAGATACTCTGGAACCAAGCTGAGATTCTGGACACAAAATCCTGGTCATCGCCATGCAGTTTTCTTGGCAACATTACAGAAGCGGCTTCTGCTTCTTCTGGAATGTTGTCTGAACTTCCACCCTGGGATCCTGTGTTGTCCTCCATCCAGGTACTTAGCCAGGCCTGACTTTCCTTAGTTTTCCAGCTCAAACAAAGTTGGCCAGATGCTGTCTCCAGAGGAGATGTTTTAAAACAGAGAGGTGTAATAATGAATTTACAACATTTATAAGGGCACCAAGCATTACTCCTGGGGAAGCTAGAGACCTAAGAACATTAGTAAAAGCAGCATTATTAACCAGAGCTTTTGTTTACATACAGAAGACAAGGACGCCAAGCCAGAAGAGCCACTAAGATTGGTTAGCGAACTCGGGCTCTTCGTGATTCTGCCATGTGGGAAACTGCTCTCTGATGCTGTATCTGTCTCTCTGTCATCGCTCTACAAGATATTATACAAAGGGAGAGAAAGAAAAGTCTGCACAGATGTTTGAAAAGTGGTGAGGACAACAAACAGCTCTGTCAAGGTTTGGAGGTCTGGGATCCAGCCTTGTCAGGTTAATGTGGCAGGCATAATTTGCATGCAAGAATTTAAGCGGCACTTAATAAAAACAACAGAAAGTAATTAGGAAGTGCACTCAGACGATACTGCATTCCCTCTTCAAACAAACTTCAATCTCCAAAAGGAGATCAGCTGCCCTGTTTTACTGGCTGGTGCAGCAGATAAGACAATGATGCGGTGCATTTTTTTCTCATTCTTCGTTTCCATTCTGGGCCTATAGAAAAAGGGCATCTGTCCATAAGACAAAGAAACCAGTGTTGCAGTCCTCACAAGATCTATCAGGTTTTGTCAAATCTGATCCTGTGAGGAAAGAAAATCATTTCTAATTCCAGAGTTCCAAACGTCTTGCTTTTATGTTATCTAGGAACTAATGCATTTGGATTTGGTCTATACATCGTGGCTTGCTTGGGGTCTGTCTTAGTCCATTCTGTGAATCATAGCCATTGGCATTTGCAAACCATGGTTGATGGCTTACCATGACATACAAACACAGTCAAATGTGATTATTCAACAAACTATGGTTAAATAATCCACAGCTTACTCCACTATGTGTACGCAGTCACAGACTTGGCATGGGAAATTTGTACTATATATTGTGGTATTTAACCAGGAGTGTCTGTCAGGGGAGCAAAAAAATCAAGATCGTGACCATGGTGAAAGCTTGTTACTTCTTATGCCCGAATGAATGAATGAATGAATGAATGAATGAATGAATGAATGAATGAATGAATGAATTTGACTTGACTTGACTTAAGTGCTGCCTGACTCCAATCAACTCCGGATGGCTCACACCATCAAAACAATATACAATTTTTAAAAAGCATATGATAGTAATAAGATGGAGAATCTGGTCAACAGCAACATGCATACAACCTACAAGAGGTCCAACCACTCTAGCCTAAAGCCTGAGTGAGGAGCCAGGTCTTTAAGGTCCTCTGAAATGCCACCAGGGTGGGAGCCACCTGAAATGCAGGGGGGACCTAATTCCAGAGGGCAGGTGTTGTGACAGAGAAGGTATGCATGCGTGAAGTGTGTAAAAAGCAATGCAGCTTTCGTCACAGCCATCCTGACTTTTTTGACACCCTCCCCCCTCGGACACCCTTGAGCTAGGATTTCCCACTGTATGCCCCAGGGTTTTCACACAAACTTGATATAAAGTTGCAGCTGCTCTTAGGAGTTGCATCAACCTGAATGAATGGATTCCTTAAAGGAGCTGCAACTTTTTTGGGTGGCCCTGTGGAAGTCTGAAGAATGACAGGCTGTTTTAATGGACAGGAGAAAGTTGCCGAATTCTTTCTTGTGCAAGATTCAGAAAACCTCTGCTGAATGTGCCCAGCACTCCCTGTACTGGACCTCATCCATTTATATATAATATGAGCTATGATTATTTGATCAAGAGATGATTGGCTAATTGATTCAGAGTTTCAATTTCTTCATTCATTCTGAGATTTAGATTTCTGTTAAGAGTTGAAGACATTTAGAATGGACTGAGGATAGGGGAAAGGCTTAGAATTTTTCTAGCAATTGCAATAATTATAAAAAGCTTATTCTAAAACAAGAGATAGATGCAGAGGCAAGTAACGACAATGAACAAAGAGGGAAATCTATTGTTGAGCTACATGGAGGTAAAAGACTGTCAATCGCTTTTTCCAGCATGCTTTATTTATTGTATCAATCAGATGGCAAGCTGTATATTCACAATCTCACATCCCTTGAAATCTGGAACTGCACTCTCCAGATCCTTTTAGGGAGTGCCATCTATAGAGATCTTGGGGTCAGATCTTCTCAGTTGCTTCCTCCTCCTCCCTTCTGGCCCTCTGCCAAGCCATAAAGCTGTGACTTTTTAAGGGGGACTGTTTTATTTTATTCCCTCCTTGTAGATGAATCTCTTCTAAGTGTGGGTTATTCCTCAGTGATGGAGCGATTGCATATCTATGCAATCTTATTATTGGTTATTTGTTTGTAAGCCTTATTATGTAAGGCTTATTATTGGTTATTTGCTTGTAAGCCACTGAAAGTCAGTTCTGTTTGGAACCATACATATATAAGCCTAGCAACAAAATAAAAAATTAAAGAAATAGTTGGAAAAGTAATATACTTTGATAATAATTTGTTAAAGTTGATGAAAAGCAATCAAATGATTGCTTTGCCTTGCACCCAAATACACATTTCTACAATATGAATTACAATTTTAATTTGTTTTGTCAAAAAACTGCACAGCCACCCCTTTAGAGGAAAAAAAAATATGGGCTATGAAACAATTAGGTGATTGATCAAGCAGTTTTTCAACCAGTCCAGATGCATAAGGTGTTATGAACCACTAAGGACAAAGTGCTATCTGCCGGCAGGATTCTCTTAAGACCTACATTCTTTATTTCCTTTCTTACAATATTCAGGCTGACTGAAATAAATGGAAATCTGCAAGTCTCATTTCTTTACCTTCCTGCTTTCTGGCTGAAGTTGCCGTATATTCTTACATATTTTACTAAAACGGCATCACCTTAAAGCAAATCATCTTTTCTTTTCTTTTTTTTTAACAGAGGTAAAAACTTGCCTCATCCTGAAGAAATGCTGGGACCGATTTGCTCATCATCTTGATTTTTTCCGGACGTGAGAATTGACTGTCAGAGAAAGAAGGTGCTGTGGAGACTAAAAAGCAGCAATTCACATTGAGAGAGCTAATTAGATTCTGGTAAAAAGATTGACTCATAAAGTGTTCTTGGGGGAAAAAAAGGAGCATGCTTAAGGAACATGTACATGCAAGTTGCGCTTAATAAAACCAGCAACGTTTGCTGCAAAGAAGCACCAAGAACTAACACAATGCATGACCTATACAAGTCCCTTCCAGGTTTTCAAATCTCCTTTAAAATTAAAAAATATTTGTTCAGGCTTGCAAAACTTCTCCCATGATATATAAGCAAAGGTATGGGATGCCAGTGTTTAGAGATACTTTATACCAGAACTTACATTTTAAATAAATGAAGAATTTGTGGCAAGCCTGGTTTAGAAACAGATTTACCAATTGGTTGATTAAATTTATTTATCCATTTATTAAACTGTTACCATTGTCTCTCTGTGCGATAAAAGCCTGTGTCCAATTGTAAACTATCAAGGGATGATCTGAAATCTAGTCTCCCTAATCCAGGTTCAACACACTTCCTAAATCAGGAGTGGATAACTTTTTGGAGGAAATGGACTAAACTTAAAGATTTTACAGAAAGTTGAGGGCCATACTGGGTAAGGATGATCAAGTAAAGGAGGTAGGGAGGAAGATAAGACTACAGTTTTCAGGGACTTATTATTTTTTTTAAACCACATTAAGTCTTTTTAGGATGTACATTGTATTATTTCCTGCTTCAAAACAGCAGGAAACTGGGATGCTAATTTTCATCAATCGTGATTTGTTGAAGATCCACCCCTGTTCTAAATGTCTGCATTCCAGGTAGTATATTCTAAGTATTCATTCTTGGAAATTGATAGTGATGGATTCTCAAAACCACATTACACTGAACTCTATTTAATGTTTGAAGTAGCCAGACATTGTAATATAGAATTGCACACTAACAACACTTACTCATAATCTTACATACTCCCTCCCATAATACTAACTAAAAAAGAAGAGGAAAGAAAGAGAAAGAGGATTTTTTTTTCTTTTTTCATGTTGTGAAATGAGGATGAATGTTCATCATCCGTTCTGGCAGATGAAGAGTGGGAAGAGGGAAAAAAAAAAATACAGCTCAGGACTGGTACAATTATTCAGCGGACACCAAGTTTTCTGCAAACAAAAACTGGGCCTTATATCTAGCAAGAACACAGAAATCCCAAGATTCTGCCCTGAACCTTTCCCTGGGTTCAAGACCATATAGATCTCTTTTCCCTCTCAAAATACTGGAGCATTTTGCAACTGAGCTATAATTCTTCACCATCACGTTACTGCTTTCTCCTGCACTAATACTCCATTCTCATGCTTTCTACCATTTGGTTCCTTCTGTTTGCTAGACGTTGCCTTCAAATGACAAACCAAATCCTGCTTTGCGTTAAATGCACAAGAGCTCTCAGCGGTGCAAAATTAGTTGTTATTTTATAAGATGCAAATAATGAATAGAACAAGAACAGACTCCCAATGTATTAGTGGTTAGTCAGTATTATAAAATAAAATAGTGAGAAGCCACAAAATATTATGTTCAGGAAGGGTCTTGTTACTCACTTCCTGCTGTGTTGCCACTTGGCTCAATTGGGTGATCTGATCAAAAATTGCAACCACAAATAAGATACTGTTATACTTAACAGTAGAGTTAACAAGAGTGCTCTAATTACAACAGTGCTGCAATTAACCTACAGAATCTAATACCTAATGAGGGCTAATCATTTGGATGGCTTTAAAAGGAGACTGGAAAAAATCAGAGAGGGCAGGTTATCAAGGACTATTAGTCCTGTGAAGTCTCAATGCCACCGCCAGACTGAAGGCACTGTGCCTCTAAATTCCGCCCACAGGAGGGAGGTTGGGTACTGTGAAAAACAGCACACTGGATCAAGTCCTTGGTTTGATCCAGCAAGGCCACTTTCAGTTCTTACAGACAAACCAGTTTCTCCTGCTTCCAAATCTTTACATAATTTATTTTCAAACTATTCTGTAATCATTTCATTTATACAGTATTTTAACATGAGATATGGCTAAGGGGGGCCGCCAGATGTTAATGTGAGAGAAAATCTCTTGAAGAAATAGTAGATTACAAGGCCTAATTTCATTTCCACTATTTAAAAAAAATAGAAAAAGAATCAAATCCCGGGTGGGTGGCCCAAGATAAAATTTTTAAACTGGTTAAGGGTACTCCTTTAACAGCATTTAGCAGAGCTAATAAGTTCATTTGTTTTAGGACAACAGGAAGTACCACATCTTCCCACACCAATCAGTCGGGGAAATAAAAAAATAAGCTAAAATGGAATGAGGACTGGTCAATGAATCATGATCAAATATTCTAGGAAGCTGAGAATGTTGTGTCCATTTCAATTTCAATTATGGTAGCATGTCATATGTAATGTTTGGCACACATTTTATACATACTTTCAGTCCTTCTGAAGTCTGTGGGTTCAAGCCTGAGCAACTTAAGCTGGGCTGCGATCTATATTTCTGAGGGGGCCTTCTTCATACACAGCATTAAACCAAAAATCAGACTAACCAAAAGTCTAACTCATGCAATATTTAACTACGTCAAAGCTTAACTATTAGCTATCACAGAAGACGCAGAATACTTAATGCATACATTTTACTAAAGCAGAACATTAGATTCATGCAGCTACATATAGAATAATTACCATCTTCAGCACTAAGCACTAAGTCTTCCCTGGCAAGGTTTATTTTTTCTTTATCTGTGCAAGAGGAGAAATGGTGACACAATTAGTTAATTCAGCTGTTCAGGATATCCTTGTGGGCTGAAGCCTCTAAAGATGGGAGAGAAGTAAAATGAAACTTGGAGTAAAGTCAAGTTCAAAGGCCCAGAAAAAGCCTTATTGACAAACCACATGCATTGTTCCACAGGAGGAGGAGGAGGATTCCTATCAACTTTTCTAGTACAATTTACACTGCAAGTCATTAAAGTTGCCAGATAAAGGTAAGACTAGGATTTGAAAAAGTCAACACGCCATTCATGAAAACAATTTTTTGTAAACTATATCAGCATAGGACAGGGTGATAAACACCCTTCAAAATCAGCCTGTTAGAAGCTGCAGTGCATGAATTCTGACAACAGCACAGTTCCAGAACATCGCATGCCAGATCAAGAGCTGTTTCATCAACCCATCATTATTCCAAGGTGCTGGATTTCCCAGGTGGCCAGGATGTCTAGAAGTGGTGATCAGCTACATTTGGAGGGCACCAGATCAGAGAAAGTTCAACCACAAGAGTAATTTCCTACTGGAAATGTTTAAAGTTTTTGTCTGAGGGCAGTTTAAGATTTCATCTTAAAAAGTTTGCCAAACCTAGTCACCAAAGGCAAAAGTAGGATGAGGATACAACTGAATAGACATTCATCACTGAAAATCAACTTTGACCCTGGGGAAAAAAGTGAATAGCTATTATGAGCCTCAAGCTATTGTTTACGGTTTGACCCATTTAACTCATCCTCTGGTTTTTCTAATTGAACCAAAAAACAAGATTTGATTTACGTATTTATCAAATTTGTATGCCACCTGACTCCCAACGATTTAATGACAATTAAGCCATCACCTAATAAGGCCTTACTCCCAGCATTATCCACCATGTGGGATAATGGAAATAAAATGCAGATACGGGTAGCCCTTATTTAGCGAATGCCTCATTTAGTGACCGTTCACAGTTACAACCATGATGAAAAGTAACTTTACGACCAATCCTCACATTTATGACCTTCACAGATCTGTAAAGCAAAGGACAGGTGAAGTAAGATCATAAGCACAGTCACAGTTTCACTTAGCGGCCACTTCACTTAATGATTGAATTGCTGGTCCCAATTGTGGTTGCTAAATGAGGACTACCTGTAATAAAAACTGGGATGAAGCATCATGGATTTGGGTCCACAAACAGCTACAGTACTAAGACAGTGTATGATTTATGGAACATTATAAAACATTCCCCATCCCCCAAAGTGAGATTAGCTCCATCCTTATTGATTTTCCAGATGTTCCTCAAGACCTGGCTATGTTGTCAGACCTTGGGGGTCCTAGGGGATCAATGAGGTCCTGAGGTAGCTCCATTACTGTGGTTGACATCTATTCTCTCTTATTACTAATTTTTTAAAATAATGATTGGGGTTTTTTAATATGTTTATTGTTTTCTCAATTTGTTGTACACTGCCCAGAGTCACTTTTTGTGAGATGGGTGGCCATATAAACTTGACATATAAATGAATAAATACAGACAGACAAACATAAAAGAGCCAAGTACATGCCACATTGCAATTTCTGAAACAGCCCCAGCAAACAAATAATTTTATGTAGCTTTCCCAATCCCTACTGTAGATATTAAAGTTGTAGATGTATTTGCTTGTGGAAAACCTTTTAAGATATTTACTCCTTCCAAAAGTTATGTGAAACTATATCTTGACAATGGTGGGCAGTTTGGGACAAAAGTATATTAAAAAGAAACGTGAAGGGCACGGAAAACGTCAGGCAAATGTTTTGCTCACTTGATGTGGCTGTTGGTATGTCCTCTAGACTTTTGGAAGGAATTTGCCTATTTGAATTCCTTGTCAGAGCCTTCATAACAGGGTTCAACTCTTCCTCCGAACCTGTTTCAAAACAAAAAACATGAGCACTGCACAACGCACAGACTTATATCCCAACCACGATAGTCTATCTTTATCTGTGTTCATTCATCCAAGTTTTAAAAACCAAAGAATAGAAGAATCATGCCAGCCCTTGTCCCCATTCCTCCCCATCATGATCTGAAGTTACTTCACTATTCATTTTCTCACCCCTCCCCTTCACTAGCTGAAATTGGCAAGGAGGGCCACTGAATGAGACAATCCCATGATTCTTGTAATACGTAGTTCCACCCTTATAATGAAAGGTAAAAACACATGCGTTCTAGACAACCATTTCTTCATCAAGACATATTTTTATCTGTTTGGTCATGTCTTCTAATGTTGCTATTTCATGAGTAGTTTCCATGTCAGGTTATCATGCAAATGAGTAACTCAAAAACTTGGCTTCCTTCTGGTGAATTGGGCTTAGTCAGTTGTGGTTGCCTTAGTTATTGTTGCTATGGGAAGGAAACTTTGAGTTGATAAGATTTTTAAAAATTGAATGAGGGAGATCAATTTGTGACAGTTGGGGCTGGGTGGAAGAGGATCAAAGCCAAAAATGGAGAGAGAACAAACGTTTGAATCTTGAAGAATGATGTTGTTGGAGGACCTAAAGGACAGAGTAGATAGCTAAGCAAAGCAAGAAGCCATACTGAAATCATAGTGAATCTTCAAGCAGGCAGCACCAGCCAGCACCAGAAAGGCTTCAAGCGATTCCTTCTGACCAGGAGGAATTTCTGCAAGCAATCTTGGTGGTTCAGATATATTAAGAAACCAGATGCAGGAGGAAGAGCTTGAGAAAGAGGAAAATCATACATTGCACTAGCTTCCAGCTGTGCAAGATTGCTTGGAATAATAAAAAAATTATCCCAAGTTTTTTTGCTGGGCACAATTCTCTTAAGAACCATAACTGAGCATATTTAACTCAGAACTGTTCATTTAAGCAAACTCGTCCAACTGGTTGGAAAGCAATGTTCTGTTGTGGCAATTAAATAATTTATGAATAAACCCTTCATTTTTGTTCATCTTGAGACATTGTCTGATGTGGAACGTTTTTACCACTTCAGGGGCTAAAGTGAGCTTTGAGAAAGTTACTCTGTAGAATGTTCCATCATTTTATGCTATTAAAGTGAAAGGACTCTCTACAATATCGATCATTTCTCTCTGCCAACCTCAGGCAGGAAATTAATCTTGTAGGAGGATGATCCAAGCTTATAACTGGAGGCATAAAGAAATTCTTTAAAAAATCATCCAGAACATATGGTACTATTCCTGACTTCTAACTGATTGGACAAAAGGAAGATGTTAGGAGGACAATATCAATTAGGTTACTATACAGCTGCAAAGATTTCTGGAGTTTACTGAGAGAACGCATAAGCATTTTTGAATTCAGAGCAACATACACCTTCATTTAAATCCTGATGAAGCAACCTATGCCCCATGAATCATAAATCTGGAAATCTTTGCTTTGGGGGGAAAAAGATGAGTGTGTACCATCCAGGTGGCTTTCTAACAATCTTTATATAACAGACCCAGATAAGAATAAAATAATTTTTAAATGCTCACATATTGGACTTCTTTGGATTCCCAGAAAGGATTTATTTTCATCTGAAAAATCTGACTCAAAAGTCCTGGCATCTCCATCATCATCGTTGTCATCACCAGCTTGAGGGGCAGCAAGCTGAAGCTCAACCTTCCTTGTTTGGAGAGGACTTCCAGAGAGTAGGGTGCTTGACCTTTGCAATTCATGGCCCACAATCAGGCTTTCGTTGGTATCAACGAATGAAGCATTTGCAGTGGAAAGTTCTGTTTCTTTCTCTTGTGTACTTTTGTACTCTTTCTTATTGGCTGTCGAGGGAGAATCCTCCTCTTTTTCCAGACATGGAGTTTCTGAAGACGATAGGTTAAGATGGATAATTTTTTGGAAAACCATATTCTCTGAAATCTTTGCTCCTTCTTCAATTTGTTTTTCATGTTTGGAGGCCTTCTCTGTAAGTGGGATTTTAAGTTCACTACGGTAATCACTTGACACAGTCTCCATCAAAGTTGGCATTTTTACAGGTAAGCTTTGTTCCTCTAAATCAGGTGATGAATCATTGGTAATTTTCTTGCAGTCAACCGTGGGTGGCTGAGAGGCTGCATCAGAACTTTCCCAGATTAACTTTTCTAAACTGGACTTTAATGAACCAACATCTTTTGCTGGAGCAACAGATTTCATTACAGTTTCATCTTGGGGAAGGCTTAAACATCCTGGGTGAGAAGGTGGTGTTTGAGAAGTTTCCTCAAGCAATTTCTGTAAGCTAGAATTAAATTCACTTTGCTGAAATCTGGATGGTGCATTATTCTTGTTTACAGTTTCATTAATTTCTTGACCACAGTCTATTTCCTGTTGACTGATAAAACCTATGTTCTGAGTAGGCTTTCTGTTTATTTGCACCTCATTGCTACTCTCTTTTTTCAGACTACCTGGTAAGGTTTCAGAGTTTTCCTTGAGTAGTGTTTGGAAACGGGCTTGGAATTCAGCATGTCTAGAATTAGAAGGAACAGTCGATTTTTCTATTGCTTCAATTACTTCCTGAGCATCCAGTGTATCTTTGGCATAAGCTGAGCTCACAGACTGATCAGGCTGTAATGTGGTATGTATTAGTTTAGGAATTTCTATGTCTCCAAGTGACACTGTTGAGTCTTCATTAAGTATTTTTTTTAAATTAGCTCTAAATGCTGCACGATCGCATGATTTTGGTTTAATAGTTTTCACAACTGTTTCCATCACATCCACAGGTTGCTCATCAACTAATTCTCCCTGAATTCCCTGAATTCTCTCTTTATGGTTTACATATTGTTTAGTTGCTTCTGTTGTGTCACCTGGTACTTCAGTCAGCATGTCGTCATCTTTCTTTGTATCTTTGCTTCCCACAACTGCCTCATGCATAGTCTCTCTCAAACGACTGGACATCTGGGGTGAAGCAAAGTCTTTCTTTTCAGTCGTTTGTTTATAGGGCTTTTGCTGTGCTTCTTTAAGAATACTATCCAATGGTGTTTTCAAAATGTTCTCAGTAGTGGACAATTTTGCCGATTCTTTCAACAGATTGATGAGTTTAGCATTCAAATCGCTGCAGGCTCTGTTTGGTGGAACATTATTTTTAGACACCATCTCAAAAACCTCTTTCTCAGGAGAGTCTGTTCTGTTCTGAACAGCACCAGGGGTATCAGGTCGTATCAACTCCGGTGACAGAATCGGCAAGCTTTCTTCCCAGGTAGGAATATCATCTAAATATGTTTGCCTATCCTCTCTGTTGGGGACTTTCATAGGCACAGATTTTAATTCTTCCAGTGATCTAGGCAAACTTCCCACACTGGCTTTAAATTCAACTGGCTGAGTTTGGAGTAAGTCATATTCTTCAATAGTTCCTTCTGTTTGAGATCCCACTCTGCTCTCTTTTGGATCACTGGAATAAGAACGATGGCTGCGCTCCATCACCTTATTAAAAAAATCCCTTTTCTCTGACATAGGAGCTGCTGGTTCAGAAACATCCACTATTATACCATGACCGGGAGAGGCCTGTGCATCAGAAGTTTCCTGCAGCAACTTCTCCAAACTCATATTAAAAGCACCAGCAGCAGCTTTTGGTGAAACTGAAGTCCTATTTACAGTCTCTACAACCTCACTTGCTTTAAGCACAGCTTTTCTATGTGTGTCTGCAGGGACAAAACTAGGTTCTTGAATCTGGTCACTGTAAGACATGTGACCCTTTGCTACTAACTCTACCCGCGGACTCCCTTTCTCACATATTGGTGGGTGACAGGATTCCTGTGACTCTTCAACCAGCGGTTTCTGGAAACCACTGTTAATGACACTAGGCTGTATTTCTGGTGAAGCAGTTCTTATTCCTGCATGTTCCTTCACCGGAAGTACATTGGAAGAGTCATTGTCCCTTGTTAGGACATAATCTAAATGCATGGGTTCAGTCATTGCTGATGGGGAAAGCATGGGTTGTCCCATGTGCTTCAAAATCACCCTTCTTTCTGCTGAAGGACTTGGGTGTGAAATCTTAGCAGGGGATTTCTTTGTTCCCTCTTCTTGAAGAGGAAAACCAGATCTCCCTTCTTCCAAAATGGCCTGGCTAGTTCCAATTCCTTCTTGTAACTCTTTAACATAACTTCCACTACTACTCTTATGCCTCTGTGGGATGGCCTCATCAGTCCTGCTCTGTAGCTTAGTCCCAACATCCCAAAAGCTTCTCAGGCTCTGAAACTGGGAAGGGTTGAGCATCTGAGACCTGGATTCTTCATCTATTTTTTCTTTCAGTGAATGAATCTTAAAATGAGTCTTTGGCGGCAGAGTGGGTAGAATATTCCCTTTTTCTAAAGCAGTGACTTCTGATCTCTCATACTCTTTAGAAAATGGTATCGTTTTGTTACTTGGTTGCAAATTGCCATCATTCAACAATCCCATAATGTCAGTATTTTTCTGGCCACTTGAAAGTACTTCATTAGATATATCAATGACTCCGCTTCCTGTAGATTTATCCACTTGGATTGGCCCCCTTGTTCCTGAAAACAACTTAACATCATCATCTTGTGTTTCAGAGTCCTCCTCACTTAACTCAACTTTTCTGAAGGTAACTAAATTATATTTGCTTTGCTCATTGTCAGATTCACTTGTTACATATCCAGAAGATCCGCCCATTGGTTTTATCCCACTGTGTTCCTTTGTATAGCTAGACATATTTTCTTTTTTTAGATCTTCCTTATTTTCAGGCTTTGGAGTCATCTTGCCACCTTCCCAGAAAGCCCTAATATCCTTGACTCTTTTCTTATATTCCATCACTGGTGATTGTTTTAAATCATGTTGTTGCAAGACCAAGCTACCCCTATCGTTGGCATGAGGCATGCTTTCTCTGTCTAGGAAATCACAGTCCTTTCCTTTAGGTTCTTTCAGAGTTTCTCCAGACTTACGCTCAACATTTTCTTCTTCCAAGAAAGATTTAACATCTCTCTCTCCATCAGTGTATCCCCATGGGCTAGTTTCTCTTTTCATTCCTCTTCCAAAAGAAGCATCAGCGCTCTTCAAACCCATATGTGTTTTATCTTCAAAAGCATTTAGTCTTCTGCACAAAACATCTTCACAGATGTCTTTCACGCTGTTTTCATCCATCTTGTTCTCACTCTGATCAATGGCCTGGAAATGCATTCTCTTAGTGATATGAATATTCTGCCCTTGGCTGCTAGAAGCTGCATTCTCTTTTTCTCTGCTATGATCCAGACTAGCTTGCTCTCCTAGAAACATACTGCTTGGACTTTCAATTTCTGAAAATGATAATTGTCCTGGTTGCTTTATGACATCGTGGAGCCTTAAGTCTTTGCTCGCTGACTCTTCTCTTTTATACAGAGGGGAATTCAGATTTAACATATCTGTACTTGACCCATTATCTTCTCCAGTTACAGACAATTCCATTGGCTTTGGGGTGTCCATCTCCTTTGCAAATGCCCTTCCCTGAGGGATTATCAAAACTGTTTCTTTATCAGCAGTGCTGGAACTTCTTTTGAACCAGTCTAGAACTTTGGATATGGATTCATCAGTTGCCTTCAAATTCTCAGCAGCATGTTTGTCAACACTGTGACCCTCAACAAGAGCAGGCTTACCTTGTTCAAGGTCTGCACGGCCAGCTTCTTCTGTCTCAGCCAAAGGCAACTCCCGGCCTACAAGAGACACAGCCAATTTTTCTTGTGAAGCAAAGAAATGGTAGCCTACCAGATTAATGGTATCAGTTGACTTCAAGCTGCATAAATCTACCTATGAGTAAATACCTTTAAAGAAAGATATACTTCACTTTTATATGGTATATTCTGAATTACAAAAGTAGCTGTCTTCAATGGCAGTTTTCCAGTCTGTGAGAAGGAAATACTTCCCCAAAAATTGCCTGACATCTGAAATTAAAATTTTAAAATGTGTTGTCCAATTTATAAGATTTTACCTTAGTCAATCAATTAAAAAGTGAAGTATTCATTATTATATAGGCTGTCCAACTGCATAATCCGTGTTGGTTTTTTTTTAAAAAAAGGTAATGATATTCATGTTATTTAATTATTTACTTTATAAATTCTATATCCTGCATTTTCATTTTTTTAAACAATCTCTCTGAACATTAGGATTGTTAGATATTACTTAAACAGCCAAAGTTAGGACGTTGGATGAAGTCTTGTATGGCCTGCACTCAAATGCCTCAAGAAGAATACAGGCAACTGAGAAGAGACCTCCTCCCTTAATATGGTTCTATCAGATATAAGATGCCAACAGGAAAGTAATTTTCCCTGTACAAATTCTTCAAACATACATAAATGTTAGTATCCAGCAGAAGTCTTGAACAACCTGCTAATATGTTTTGAAAATGCAGCTATTAGTGCATTTAGTAGAAGAATCATGAAATCATAGGGTTTGAAGGAACCTTGAAGGTCTTCTAGCCAACTCCCAGCGGAGGACAGATAAATGGCTGTCCAAGTTTTGCTGGAAAACCTCCAGTGATGGAGCCCCCATGACCCCAGGAGATAAGCTATTCCACTGCTTCAAAGCTCTCACCGTCAGGAAATTCTTCCTTATTTCAAGTTTGGGTATAAAGCTTCCACCTATTGATTCCTGTCCTACTCTCAGGAACTCTAGAGACTAAATTCACACTCATTTTTTTGTGACAGCTCTTTAAGCATTTGAAAAGTGCCATCATGTCTCCTTTTAGCCTTCTCTTCTTCAAGCTAAACATGCCCAGTTCCTTTATATTTTAGATGGAAGATTTAAAATGCTTGGTCAAATGTTAAGTTGAAATTTCCTAATACAAAGGCTTGAAAAACACCAAGCAGCTGCTCTGATTCTCTTGCAATGGTAGTGATTACACCAGTTGGGCCACTGACTATGAAAGCAAGCCAGTTTGTCCACACTAAACAATAAACAAAGGTTTGCCAAAAATTAGAAAACGAGAGGCAGAATTGGACTAAGGAAGGATTTTTCTGCTTAAGTTCTGATTATGCAATCCTAACATGTACATCTCAACAAAAATAACAAGATTCTTCTCAAAATCTTACTTGTTACTTACCAGCTATATGAAAAGTAAACTGAGCCTTAAGTATAATAACCTGCTAGTCTTATTTCTGTTTTGACTGTGTTGCAGCTACTTCCATTCAGTGTTTAATGCATCCTGAATAAAATAATTAGCAAGTACACAACAATATGGCAGTGGAGAACTAACAAAGAGGCAACGACATTAAAAATACTAGCATACTCCCCAAAAGAAGATTGAAAATAGGATGACACAAGAGTGACAATTTCACTAGAAGTTACCTCATTGGCTTCACTGTATTTCTTACCAGTGCTGCTTTCTGTGCTGGCACATGGCTCAGGACTCAGCTGCTTAGTTTTGGTCTGAGACTGAACTGGAACCGTTTGCTCATCCACAGTGCTGGGAACAATCTTCCTGGATGGTTCCCCTGGAGGTACAGCTTCTATGGGAGTATTTTCCCCCAACAATAACAGATCTGAGCCTTCTTGAGATATTTGTCCGTCCTTCACATTACTGTTTAAAGCTGGTGAATAGGACCGTGGTGGCTTTGCTGGACCAGATGGCCTGTCCTCATGTGCACCTAAATAATTTACTTTGTTCTCATTAGTCTTAACACAGTCAGAATCTAACAAACTGAATTCCCCAGGTTCTTTGCCGTCGTGCAACTCAAGACTTGGTGGACATTCATTCCTATTTATACTGGAAGAAAACCTGACTTGCTTTAATCTTTCCAGTGAGTTTTGAGAGTAGTCTTCTCCTGGGGGAGGGCTCTTCTCTGCCACATCTTCAAGGATGGTGGAGGTAGGTAATCCACTTTTACTGGATGGTTCCAAGGTTTGACTAAGACGCAGTACTTCAGAATCTGTGGAACTTGAACTAGAGCTTCGCTTGAGGATGCTCTTGGGTGGCCTCCCTTGGCTGTTGATCTGCTTGATCCTTTTAGGCACTTTGGGTAAGGAATCTTTACTCTGCAAGCTGATATCTGAGGTCCTGTGGGCATTTTTCCTAGCTTTGGGTACAGGCATTCTTCCTGCCTGCCTTGATTCTACAGAAGGTTGTTCTGGTCTTTCTATTCTGCTGTAGTTCAATAAATTTACTCTGGGTTGGTTTTCTACTGAAGGTGAATGAGTGACTGCAAAACAAGATGCATACACAAAGAAAGGGGTGTAAACACACTACAAGTAATAACTCCTTAGCAGTTTAAAGCAACAACATGCAACTAAGGACAGCATTATGATGCGTCTGGAAAAGAGATGATGTTACCATGCTTGTTAACTACTTTCTAAGGGTGCAAAGTAATATGGCTTAAGATTTAACCTTAATCTATAGTAACAGCAAAATCAGAATTACTTATGCATGTTACATGGTGAAGAGAGAAGCAATTTCAAAGTAACGTTTTTAATAAAAGCCTTGGGCCAGTCCCTCTCTCTCAGCCCCACGAAGGAGGCAATGGCAAACCACTTCTGAAATCTTCCCAACAAAACTGCAGGGACTAGTCCAAGCAGTTGCCAGGAGTCAACACTGACCTAAAGGCACACACACACACAAAGAAAGAAACAGAAGTCATACATCTGATATATGGACCCGTGGCTACTCCACTCTTGCATCAATATAACCAACTCTTTGAAACAAAGCTGGTACTAGCATTGGACAAGCAAAGCATTGAATAAACAAAAGCATCATATAATTTGTATGATTATATAGAGGCAGGTCCTGTTTCAACGTAATTTTTTACTGCACAATTTTGTTCATTACCCCCAATTCCATACAGTCCTTTTGCTAAACAACTCCGTAACATGGACTTATTAATAGGATACGAAAGCATACTGTAATATTTGTTCAGGGTTTTGCTTATTCTATAGAGAATGCACAGATTATTTTTTTAAAAATCTTCACCTTCCCCGGTTGCTTCCGACGAATCAGCCATTCCATTTTCAGCCTGCTCAGTTTTTGCATTATCTTCTGGTCCAGCTGAATCATTAAATGGATTTTTCCTTTGCTGCAACAGTTTAATTTACATTATTTAAAAAGCATGGAAAGAAACAATAGTAAGGAAGATACAGCCCTCCAAATGCTTTCAGATCACAATCTGAAAGCGTCACTGGTGATTCTGGGTAGAGCTGATAAGAATTGCGGTTTGACAACATCCCTGATTTAGACAGATAAAAGCAGCATTAACTAAGGATGTCTATTAGTGCTTTTTAACCAAGATAAATCTTACTCCAGTCAGTAAGACTTATTTCCGTTTAAAGATGTTGTTCATTACCACTGAAGTTAAAGACCTGTGTAACACAGCTGTGCAAACCAATCATACATTCTGGAAAGCAAAGAACCACATTTGATACAGGATTAAAAATTGCCTTCACAGAATCCAGTGAAGAGGAGATCGCTAATACAACCATCTTCTTAGAACTGTAACTTCTGCAGGACTATGTTAAGTCAAAAGATATTTTAAGTCATACAGAAGCAGTAATTGTAGGAGTCACAAATTAGTCTATGGTAGCAAAAAATCAGAAGGAACCTCATAGCACCTTTTCCAACTAACACATTTTATTAAAAGGCGTACATTTTTGTAAATTTCACAAGATGGATAAAGTGGCTAGCTCTAGGCATTAAAAAGCAGTAAAAAGATAGACAGTAGATGTAATGAATGTTAATCCATATGAATAGATGAGAAAATGTTTTAAGAAAAAGACTGATGCTTTATTGAGTTTGGTGGTGTTTTGGAACTAAAATGGCATTGTAATAATGGTGGAATTAAAAATAATTCCATTATCAGCTCAGATATTTACTTCTAAAAATGAGAATGGACCATATTCCAGAGCCCAGAAGTATATTATTCCTTTAAGTCTCTCTCCCCATCCCCAAAAGAAAGTAAGTTAACAAACATTCTCTGCTTTTCAAAAAATATGAAGGAACCCCCATCAAATGATATCATTAAATCAAGACATCGTGGAGAGGCAACTGCACAAACACAGAATCTCAGCAAAAACTGAATACAGAAGTCGTATTTAAGAAGGAGATTTCCATTTTGGTTCCTTAGCAACAACATGGAAGTGGTTTGACACCACCTGCTTCTAAGATGTTTTTCTGACTTTCCAGGCTAATTTACAACTAGTGGTCTCCCATCCAACTTTTAACCAGATCTATCTTGCTTAACTTTTTGGGGATCGGCCAAAGTCCTAGCCGGGCTTAGTAAGTTATGTGATTACATATGAGGGTTCATCAGTCACTTTGTTGTCTGCCTGCCGATGAAGCTATAACTTCAACAAAGTACATGAGACACTTCTCTAACCTCTCCACTAGTCCAACAGATCTTGGCTGGTGCTCAGCTCTGAGAAGATGATTTTTTTCCTAGAATAATTCATTCCAAGGTATTATTTTCAAAAGAAGTAAAATCATTACAAAAAAATAATGGCCCGTTACTGAAATAACATTTCTTAATAAATTCTTCAGATAAATTACATTTCTCCTGATCAGTCAACCTCTGACTTTGTGCTACAACTATAACCCTATTTTCTGGGAGGCTCTGGCCTAATAAAACTGCCCAAATTTTATTATTTAAAACCATCCCTCCCTCCCTCCATATGCCCCTGAACAGCAATGGGATATTTTACATTTCTTCATTGCTTATGAAAGAGCTAGAGTCAGGCTCAAGGGAACTATTAATAAAATTCTGAAATCACCTAAAGTGTTACTAGATTGCTCAAGGAAAAAAGACAAGCCTAGGACCAAGCAGTTCCACTTTGGGATTAGTATATGCACATAAATAATGCACAGGTAAGGTCATAAAATACTGTCACCTTTTCTGCTTCCTCCAAATATTCATTTAGGCAACTGACCTTCACTGGATTCTGATGATAACCCACCTTAGAAGGTGACAGAGCTGGCTTCCTTGTTTCTTCTTGGGGTTTCTCTAAGGTGTTGGAGGCTGCATTGAACATTTTAGGACTGAAAAAAAAAAATGAGAAAAGGAAAAAAGCTTAGGTCCTGTCCACATCACCCACCTAAACAGGTTTAAGTGCCAGGACTTCTCATTAAGGAAACCTAAGTATCTGAATTTTTTTTTTTCACCGCCAAACCATCCCCAACAAAGGGATCAGCTTTTTGAGTTTCAGCCATCATTATTTTGGAGCAGGATAGACATCCATATACCTACCCACCCTTCATTTTTTAAAACTCATTTTCCCTTCCACATTCCTTAAGAAGCAGGACATTGTTATCATAAAATCATGTCCAGTTAGATGGTCCAGAATGGAGTTTGTGAAAGAGTAAAGAAGGAATTGTGAAGAAATTTTAACTACTGCTGTGTCAGCTATATTTTAGCTATAGTAAATGTAACTTTTCTCACATGGGGGAAATAGCTCTTGGGGCAATGAAATGTTATGGCATTTTTCAGGTTCATATCATAATGCTTCAGGTTTCCACAAAAAAAGCTTAGCTAAACAGAGCTGCTATATCTATACCACAATATCTGTACTGGTTGCCAGTTAGCTTTTGAACCCAATTCAACAGTTTATGATTACTGTTAAAGCCCTGAAATGGCTGGAGTCTACAACACCTGGGAATCCCCCTCTTCTATCTTCCGTACTCCTCAACAACAAAAGGAGAGGCACTTCTCTGTCTCACTTGGGCTGAAGGTATCACGGATCCTAACAGAGTTTTTAGTGGCTGCTCCAAATGTTGAGGATCATCTGACCCTCTTAAGCATAGATAGTCAAATCTATGCCCTTCCCCAACTGATAAATACATTTTTATCCTCACAAGATTTTATCTTCCAAGCACCCCATGATGTGTGTATATGTGATGGAATGGAATTATGAAGGCCAGGCTCAGGGAGATAAACATTTTCTTGGGAAGAT